GCACCTGGAGGAGAGAAGGGTGCAGCTGGGGCACCTGGAGGAGAGAAGGGTGCAGCTGGGGCACCTGGAGGCGAGCAAGGCGAAGGGGGCCCCCTGTGGGGTGGGAGCAGAAGACTCAGGTGGACTGGCCCTCACAGGGCTAGGAGTCTGGAATGCAGCCTCTGGGGGCTCAGCAAATGGGAGAATGGCTTCTGGGGGTAGAGCAGAGGCAAGGATGGGCAGAGCTGGCCCATGTTTGCCAAACTCTGAGGGCTCGGGATGAGAGGTGGCCTTTTCTGGGCTGAGCTCAGGAGACTCAGGATGGGTGCTGGCTTCTCCTGAGCAGGACTCTGGAAGCACGGTGGCGGCTTCCCATGGGTACGGCTCTCAAGACACCAGATCAGGCATGGTGGCAGCCACAGACACAACCCGCTTCCCCCGCTTCTTCGTCCTGCATCTGGAGATGGCAGGTGGAGCTGTGGCAAGCCGACGGGTGGAGCCGCGACGAGCTGTGGGCAGCCGGCAGGCAGAGCAGCTTCACACTACGGAGAGCTGGCAGGCAGAGCAGCTTCACATCACAGGGAAGTGGAGAGCTGCGGGACGTGGGCTGGCTGAGCCGTGGAAAGTAGGACTGAGGCCTGCTGATGTGCAGTGGAGAGCGAACCTGGGGAAGACTTTGGCTGTGGTGGCTTCCACCTCTTTCTCTGTCCCTCTGCTTCGGGTCCTGGTAGGGGGGGACTCTGGACTGTACAATGACATTCAGGCTGGGGCCCACATCTCGGCCGCCTGCTCAGCATCCGATTTCATGGGTAGCAGCTCAGGCAGGAGGACCCCTTTCTCATCCAGGTCCACAATCCGGAAACCCAGCCATTGTGTGTCCAAGCCAGGCGGTGCACTGAACCGGGTAAGGAAGTCCACAATCTCCTCAGCTTCTCCCGAGTTGCTGTTGCTTGACTAATCAGGGTAGAGGTCATGCAGCACCTGGACGGGTCATACTGTCCAGTCATACTGTCACGACTTGCGGGACAAAAACCTGGAGGGCAGGTATTGTGACAAAACATAATGAGGTTTACTGAACTCAATGAATAGAGACTGGAAATAAACAGGATTGCAAGGCGTCAAAAAACAAGAGTCATGGAACAAGGAAGGGCTCAAACAACAAGAAAGTTCAACGTCAAAATCTGGACTGGGAAACACAAGACTGGGAAGCACATATATACAGGACTAATAAGGGAACTAACAAGAGGCAATTGGGAGTGGTTTCCACATGAGGGTTAGGAATGAGAGGGCTGATGGGGGCGATAGATGTGGCTTGTTAGGGCCATGACAGGGATGAAATGGGCAGGGATATGACACTGAGACCTTACGTACCTGTAATGTTCAATCCTCAACCATTCGCTGACAGTTAAATCATGTTACATTGTGTTCCTTTGGGTAATTGCTCAAAAAGTCGCTGATGGACATGTGGACGAGTTGGTTTCCAAGGAAATGGAAGTCACCGAGAAAGCCTTCAGCCTTTCCTTTATCTGCTGACAGCCTGTTTGCTGTGATACATGTAGAGGTTGAGTTGAGCTGAACTGAGTCTACGTATGGCAGGTCACTTATTGTTGTGACCACATTTTTATTAGCTAGGACTAAGGAAATGTGATGTCACCATTCCAGTATCTTGCTACATTTGCTGGTACATTCAGTGGTTGTCCATCTGCATTTCTGGCCACGCCCACATTCCGGTGCCCTATCAAACATGCCAGCTTGGTGTTGAGGGCTGTCCTAGCGAGAGTTAAAACCTGAATCCAGTCCTGCTCATTGTTTGAATTCCCCAGGGGAGCTTCTGTGTGTCGGAGACTTAAAAAGACTGTCTGGAATTTTTTTATTAAGCTTTAGAGGAATTTGGAACAACCCCACTGGACATTAGTGTTTATTAGCCCTAAATCTGTACACTGAAGCCTTTTGTAATTCTTCATGTGTTTGTCTTCTCTTGTTTGGACAGTGATCTCAGAATAGCTATTGCTGACTTGTGCTTTAGTTAATCTCCCTCTCCTGCTCAGATTCAGAGATGTTTTAGACTCGGATATATTTCTTTTCACGTCTTTTAGTTGAGTGTGTATAGTTTACGTTTGATCAATTATAAGTGTTTAGCACTAACATTTGTCTCTACTGCGGGGTATTTTCAGGACTAGCTTCAGTATTTATAAACTAAAAGGTACATTTAAAAGTATGTTTACCAGGAAGGTTTGTGCTGGTAGATTACAGTGTGCATCTGTACAGTGTTTGGCAAGGTTTGCGTGAGTACTGACAGTTTCCGCATTAGGATTTTAAAAGCACAACATCCACATGAAAAGCTGAACTCATCTAACGTCACTCACAGTAAACTATATTATAGAGGCACTGAAAAAATGTGTGAAAAAAAGTGTGAACACTTCATAAACAGTTATGTGAGCTGTGTAATATAATCATCCATTTGTACTAAGTCTGGCTTCCATATATAGAATGTGAATGTCTGTGTTTATACTGAGCAGTCTTAAGAGTGTACATGTATAAACTGTGACAGTGCTTTAAATATCAGCTTCTTACAACTATTTTTGCATCAAAGAGATGCAATAAGTGTCTGAGAATTATTTAGAAGTCCTTGCTGTAGCTGTGGCCTAGCTAGTTAGTTAGCTAGCTAACCAGCTGTGTAGCTACTTACACTTAGAATAGGAAGTTAAAATTCTTGCCTCATGGCCAGCTGATGGTCATTAAAATCGGATATATATCCATACAGTCACATGAGATAATCGTTCAGCAAATAAAAATGTCATTTTCAGTAAATTTCCCTCACAAGTATAATCAAGGGTAATATTCAAAGAAATTTCCAAAGGCTTCAGCAACATTAGATTTACTTTGAGATACGTGATTTATAGCAAACTGTCTGTTTTTTCTCAATGGAAAAGGCTTTGTAGTCATGAAAACGGATTTTAATGATAGTACCTTAGCAGTGCTGTCATATGAACACGGAGTGAAATCTACAAACGATTTTAGTAGTAAATGCTGTGTACTCAAACATGATATACTCCCCATCTCCGACAATCCTGAACAAGAAAAATATAGGATGGATCTAAATGATATAACATTACATATAAATCAGATCAATTCTAAGCTGTAAATTCTAGCATTGCTATTTTGCGTAATTGTTTCTGTATCCTGGGTATTTTTGATTTGACTCCTTAGACAGATCTTTCTATGTTGTCTTAGACAGTAGAATATTAATCGGTTTTGTGTCTGTCTGTGGTAAATCTGCTTCATTTTTAGTAAATATTGCATTAAGTGCTGCAGGGCGACTGCCCTTGCAAACCGACAATAAAATAAGGATCGCAGCCTCGTAATGTCACTGTGCATGCATATGTATGCATCATCACCGGTTTGTGTGGCCCTGATGTGTACCTGTGTGTATGTGCCCCCCCCCCCCCCAGGTTTATAGTGGAGCTTACCATGCGCTGCATCGCGAGCTGCCAGAGACGACAGACTCCGTGCTGAGGGACATCGGCGATTGGGTCGTGGGGCGAATCCCAGACCAGGCTGCATCCGGCTCCTAAGTCCCCCATTTACTCCCGCCCCCCACCCTAGTTCGTGTACGTCCTGCTGTTCTACCATTGTAACACCCGCCACACAATCTGTGCCCCCCTCCCCCGCCATGTTGTGGGCATTGGCTGTGTTCGTCACCACTAATCAGTCCTGGCCACCAAGTTGTGTGATTACTCAGTACTTCCGAGACACACATTTACCAGTTCATCGTTCCTTAGCGATATGCATGACTGGTGGTCTAAGGGGTTTTACATGAATGGTACAGGATTTCCTTTACGTGACATGAGTGTCATTTTTCATTAGAATGTCAACCATGTGAGAGGCATTATTTTACCGCAAACTGATTTATCATTACTCAAAGGTGTACAGTGTTTTTTTAAATAAATTTACAAGTTGTAGCAATGTAATAATGACAGATCATACGTTCAAATGTATTACTGACCATGTAATCATTTGCTAGCACACAGAATCCTTCCTCACTGTCATCTTTCGGCACTGCTTTTGTTACCAATTACCATTTTCAGTAAATAACCGCAACACACAACCACAGAAACCTCTAGAGTAGCTGACTTAGAAAAAATATCATATGGTAACAACCTGACAGAATGAAAATCCCAGAAACACCCACCCTAACATCCTGCATTTATAATGTTTGTATTTTCATGGTTTGGAATACCTATTTGTTTTACATATTTATTATATTAACAAAATGTATGTATAGTACTTGTATTTAAACGATTTAACCATTTGTATTTTAAAACATAAATAAATCTGTATATTTTGAAAAAAAATGGCCCTGAATATTGCCTCTGACATCTACTGCGTAGTACATCATTCAAAGAATTTAAAGGAAATTCTGTTTTATTTTTATTTTATTTTTGTTCTATAAGTGTTTGACATAAAGTTGTGGTGCTTAGTTCCGTAGCCTCAGACATCCAGAACTGGGGACTCATTTCCCATCCCAGGCACTCTGTGTGGCGTTTCTACAATATTCTTGTTACTGGGTGTTCACCGGAAGCTCAGCCTAGCCCCACTAATGCCTAGTCGAGTCCCTGAAAGAACAATATTTGCGATTTGCCTGACTTGTATGTTGCTTTGGACCAAAACATCTGCTAAATATGTAAATTGTAAGTGTTTGTGCTGGTTCCCTCTCACAGACAAAAACATACAGTTAGGAGAGTCGGCATCTCTAAATCACCATTAGTCTGTGAATGTGCGCACCGCGGTAAACAGACTCCCTATCCAGGACATCCCCTTCCTCGCACCCTGTACTGTCTGGAACAGCCCCCAAGCTCCTTGTGACCCTGCACTGGATACGTGGTTATGGATGAGAGGTGAAGTATATTAGTGTTTTACTTTATTAAATTTAGGTTTTGGCCTGAGCAAGAATGGCAGAGACCCAGAGGATTGGGTTTATGTGCTTAAGGACAAGGGCCATTGTTTTGGCCCCATTAGCAGCTTGTTATCTGTGTTACATTGTATGCATTCAGTTCAACAATTGAATAAAAACACTGTAAGCAGATATTAATGATTATCAACAAACCAAACTATTCAGCTAACAGCAGAATTCCATTAGAATTGTCTTTTAATCTAAGAAAATCAGAAAATAGTAATTAATTAAGATGTTTTAACATCTAATATTGTAAGATGAGAGTGGTTAAGTCAAACTTATCCCTAATTTACTAATCAGGTAACTGAGACTACTCTGGGCTAGAGGCATTCAGAGCACAAGGGGCTGTCTAACATGACGATGGATCCTAAAATTAAACTACAGGAACTCCAAAGTGGGCTGAAAAGCTCATTCTCACCACGGAAACTGACTCTGCCCCCTCTCACCCACGCTTAAGAGACAGATACAGACACATGCTCACGCAGCCAGAAGCCAGGACAATGTCGCCCCTTCTGAAAATCCATTGTATATGTCATTGGTCTTAGAGCATAGGGCTCAGTTGGCTCTCATTCAGAGGTTTGTTTTATGGGGCCAGATGGAGTCGGTCTCTTTCCTTTGAGCTTGACAGTTGCCAGTAGGTACTGGCTTGGTAGTTTGGGTGACTTGGAGGTCATGGATCTTGTTGACCAGCATCTTGCTCTGTGCTTTTGGTTGGCTGGTTTCTGGTTTAGGGATTCATGAGCCCAAGGAGCCGACATTCCACAGCTGGTGTGCCGTGTCACTGGTGTCCTGCTTTTGGGGTTTTCTACCTGTGTGTCCTGGTTTTTGTGTTCTTCCCCTTTTAAGCTCCCCAGTTTCTACTCCAGGATCTTCAGCCCTCTGTGTTTGATTCTGTCTTCTGCTTCACCTCATTCTGGAGCCATCCATCCAGTCAGCGGCCCAAATCCCCCTGGTTCCCTGCTTCCAGCAGTGTAAACACTGCTGGGGTTAGGAGGTAGTAAACCTGGATTGATGGGTGGTGGCCAAAATGTTAGGTAGATCTTGTCTATGAAGGCTAATAAAAGGTTTCTACGCAATAAGCATTGAGTCTGAGTTGAGATGGTTATGATAAAACAAGAATACTGAGAATATTAAGAATTTTGCTAACATTTCATTATTATTATTATATTAAGAATAGTAGTGTTTTACTACTATCTAATAAATAATGAGCATCAGCCTAGCTAAGAGAATCACTTCAAATAATTTTTGTTTTCCTATATAGACCTGAGAGGTAAATGCACATTTGATTAAAACATGTAACATATAGCGCTTTAAGGTACCAATGTTAAAATGTGAGCTACAAGCAAACGGAGATGGACACCAGTCTGAGAAGCGAAAGATGGCCAGCCTTAGAGTTCCTGCAGGGTTTCCAACATGTGTGCATGAATTCTGTAAAAGCGAAGTACAAATTCCAACAGTATGCCAACTGCCTGGGTGTCAAAAGCAAAACGTCTATTTAAAGCCCAGGCAGTGACTGCCCTCTCCTCTCCCATAATCACTGCTGACACCGGCTCTCCGACAATGTGCCGATCAGCGTCGCGACATTAGAAAATGAGTTAGGTAAGATATGGCATTTTTAGATACATTTAAACTGTAATAGTGCAAATGTTCTGTTAGCCAGGGTAAATTACATGATAGCATCGTATTTAAAGTAAACTAACACACATTACTTGTATACTATCTAATCACAGCTACTAAGCATTACAGACATTAAACTAAATTGGAGTCAATTACACCGCAAATGTTATTGAAGGGGTCATTCTCAGTATGGGGTGCCTTTGTTGTGCCCCGTATAATGATTTCATTCAAATATCGCAAAATATTTCCCCCCTAAGTTCTATTATAAATGTATAAACAGTTAAAATATGTTCCTGAACATCATGTTTCAACAAAATAAATCATTAATTTCTTTCAGCTAATAAAAAATGGATTATTCTTAAACAGGGGATAAATAGGCATAGCATCAATAGAATTTTTGCACGTATTCTTTTCTGTTCATTTTTGTGTAGAGCAGAAAGCACAACTGTTGTGGATTACATGAAAGGAACTAATTTTATCAATAAATCATAATTCACAAAGATTTCAACAAACAAAAAGAATTATTGTTGAGAAAGGGACACAATAATTCTCTGAAAATGGCATTTCTGTCAAAAATCAAAGGACTCGAGGGCAGGTGTTGGGAGAACGAAAGTGGGCTGAAATTTAAACAAAATGGGGGCAGCGAAACAAAACGACTGTGAGGGGTCAAAATGAGAAGGCTAATATGGGGGAAGACTCAGGCAGACAAGAGGAGTGACGTCAATGATCAGACTCAGGAACACAGGACTGGGAAGGACTTGTATATGGGACTAACGAGGGGCTGACACGATGCAGGTGATGGTTATATAAATGGTTAGCACAATAGGGTAGGGGGTCATGAGAAAGATACATCTGGGAAAGAATGGGGGGGGATTCGAAGGACCCGAAGGGCCAGCAGCGACCCTGGCTGATCATACCAGGGGATGGACCAGACAGGTCATGACAGAATGTCATGGAAATACTCTTAATATTTTTTTGTTTTTGTCTGTGACGGGGTGGTCATTATTTGTGGTTGAACTACAAAACTTCTGCTTACTGTCACAAAATAAAAAGTGGTTAAGCTTGGCACGTTTTCTGAGTAGTCTAAGGTCTAAATAACATAATAAACGTTAACATTAAAACTATATTCTTTTTTTGGAAGTTACAGGATCCCAAAGGTAGCTTATACTGAGAATTACCAAAAGAACCGGCAACCATTACACGTGCTACAGCCTTCATCACCCCTCCTTTCCTATATAAGCTTTGCACATAGCTGTCGTTTATCAGAGATGCATTAACAGGAACAACAAGCTGTTCAGCAGCATAAATGTGCACAAATGTGCAACCGCAAGTAGCAGGTCGACCTCATTTTTATGTGAGACAGGCCTGCAACCTGACTGACATAACCTAATTAACATTTATATGAGCACTGAACTCCACTGAGAACAGTGCAGTCCCTGGGTGCTTCGGGTGTAAATGTTTGGCAGCTATAAGTATTCTGCAATTAGGGTCAGAATACAAACAGGCCTGTTGAATATTCATCAGCTGAACTCAAAACTCTTTGCATTTGAAGTGTCTCGATCCAACATTTTATGAGATGTGCATCACAGTGTAGCGTTACACTAGATACCAGCTATTGTTGGATCCTTGGAAATAATTTCCAGATATTGCACACATTACATTATGTCAGCATGACATTTCACAATGACAGAACCAGGTTGTACGAGGACATGAATTTTATTTGGGGGGTCCCCCTTTGGGGCATTTCTTTGGTAGACAACTATTTCAGTCAAACCTGAAAATGTTTTAAAAGGTTAGCTCAGTGGAGATGGAATTGTCTCATACATGACAAGTTAAAAGGCATAGCAGGAACTCACAAACAATCGCACAAACAATCTTAATGTGGAACAGCTAACTGATCTCTGGTATGACAGACTACATTCCAGAATGTAGGCATGATGAAGGGACCTGTATAGTCAGCAACAAAGGGCTGGGCTGTTTTCAGGAATACCTGCCACAAGGCACTATCAGTGAAAACAACTGTAGACCAGAAGCTGTTACTGTACTAAAGACGTTATCGTTAAGTTTTGGGGACTGTTTCAAAACAGTGACTTACGAGGTCGCTTCCCTAAATACCCGTGTGCTTCAGCTTCACAGCAAGCGTTCTCCTCTGTCGTCGTGCCACCTAGTGGTGTATAGTGGTCAGTGTCATAGCTTCACGCGCCTTTCAACAAGCCCGTGCAATAATCAGGTGCAGTACCTCGCAGGTACATAGAGGTTCTAGTTCAAAAACTACATTGATAAATATTACGTTGCTGTGTTGGGCTCATCCTAATTCATGTAACTGCCCCTTTTAATTCTCTCTGTTTAAGGAAGTTAACGTACTACATAACAATCCATGATCAATTCAAATAAAATATTTTAATTTTTGTAATCTGGCTTGTTTATGTGTGCACCCTTCTGGAGAGCAGAGGACGGTATAATAGCAGTATATATTAAAAAATTATTAAATCTCGAAGTGTAACGTAGCGGAACATTGAAAAAAAACTAAGATTTTTATGCCGTAAAAGCCGGACAATAAAGGAAGATGCACACGACGATGTTACCCTCAATTTAGTCCGACTAGATATATAGGACAAAGGTGACCAGGGGTTTTGAGGGGGGGTGCCAGCAAAGATAGGTTTGTATTCAACTGTTTTTCAGACGACTTGTCATAGCACTTTTACGGGGGCAGCCAGGTCGTGTCGTAGACTTGATTCGTCGACTTCATAATTAACTGTAATTATTTTCAACAGCAACGATGTCTAAACAACCACAACCGATCAGCCCATTAAAAAATTTCTTCGCTGGCGGCTTCGGAGGCGTTTGTCTGGTCTTTGCTGGGCACCCCCTTGATACCATAAAGGTAAAATTGTATTTGTAAAATATAATGAATATTGTAATTTTGTGAAACAATAATGTTTAGCACTTCCGTGAATGGCTGATCTGCAGGCTTTTTGTTAACTGAAATAGTTTCGTTAAATTTTGTACTTTAACTTTAAATTTTGTAGTAGTGTTAGACACTGTAATGACAGATTATTATATTTTATATGCCTTGTTGAATTTTGTACGATAATTCTTCTTTTGCCATTTCTAAAAAGTCCTTATCCTGTAATGCATTATTAACGCATCAATTTACTGAGTGCGTTCAGAAACACGAATCGACCTTTGACACACTAAAGAGTCTGTAAATATGCAGTAGAAATATGTGACCTTTTAACCTGTGGTGTCACATTGTTTAGAAGGTGCGCTGCCAAATGTTGGTTTGCTAACTCTCACGTGTCTGACATGATAGTTAGGCTTTCAGGCTCACAGTCACGCAAGAAATCTTACGGCAAATCTATATTATTACATTATAAACCTAAAATTAACTACATCAAAAGCGTTGGGGTGGTTTGCAAACCCTACAGACTACTTACAAGATGATGAAACAGTTACTTACATGTAATTGCGTGTGCAGACTTGTCTCGAATTGAAAATCTGACGCCAGTCAGCTGACCAAAGTTGGCCACCCTGCAAATGCATTTACCCAGTTTAGTTATTTATTATGGTTTTTCAGGCTTGTGTAGGCGGCAGAGATATTCTAAATGATTAATTCAGATGGTTACCACTGCTGTCTGAGCAAATGCGGTAACCACATCTCTAAAAAGTGCCGCCTTAGCATGTCAGGATTTCTGTGAAGCATGACCTTATGCACAGAGATTTGGCTGTATCATGCTCAGCCATGTGGTCTATCCAGGTGCGCCTACAGACTCAACCCAAGCCCAGTCCAGGCCAGCCGCTGCTGTACACTGGCACCTTCGACTGCTTCAGGAAGACCTTTGCCAGGGAGGTGAGAAGGAAAACACCCGAAATCCGTGCCGAATGATAGAGTACAGCTTTAATGCAGCTGAGCTGCTCTGCATAACGTGCCAGTCAGTCTCTCAGACCTTCTGATACAGTTGCTCCCTAAGCCAAACTCAAGGCTCAGCAGACTAAATCCCTCTGTTCATGATAAGAAGATCGTGGTTCGAGCCTCGGCCTCGGAAGAACAGTCACATGTCCGTGGGCCCTTGAGCAAGGCCCTTAACCCCCAGCTCCAGGGATGCTGCACATTAGCTGACCCTGTGTCATGACCCCCAAGCTATGGAGAGCAAGCTGGGGTCGGCGACACCCCCCCCCCAGTATGTGTTACAGCCTTGGTCTCCCCCCACACCC